CAAAAGGCAAAGTATTTTGGCTCCTGTTTCCATTTTAGGAAGCTTTAGAGGCAACTGCTCACAGCTACACACTGGGTTTTTAATCACTGCTCAACAAAGTGTTACATTCCCTTCAGCTTTTTTGCATGGGAAGAAATTAGCACAGCAGTTGACATGCTGCTAAAACCAGCCCTAATTTCCCAAAACCCAAAGAAAGGTGTTAGGGTTATGACCAATGGCAACAAAGTCTTGTGAAGCAGCAAGATTTATTCACAGGATTACCTCAGCACCTGAGCCCCTGAAGAGATCTCACAGAATAGAAGATGATGCTTGCAGCAAGCACTTCCACCACTATTAAATGGTTTCTGCACTTCTGTGAAAGGACACAACTGGGCTCATTCTCACAGCTCAGACATCTGCACACCTAGTACTCCAGTCTGCATAATGCCAACAAAAATAACACACCACATCTTGATTATGTTGATTAACAAAGCATGGCTTTTAGAAGTGTCAACACCAGTTAAGAGGCCAAAATGTTTAAGTCCCTTACTGAACTACAGCAGACACAGAAGTCATAGGCAGAAAAGACAGCATCCACTGAGAACTAATCAGACCCCAAACACCCTTTGACCACTGCCTGGATTTCCTTTTAGGTCACAACGTAGAAGACTAAATCACAAGCGTACAAGAAACAACAATCCCACTCACATGAAATGGTTGGTCCCTTCCACTGTTTCCAGCATCACCATTCCTCTCTCAGTGAAACTAACAGCAGTCAATTACAATAAAACAAGTTATTACTACATTGGAAAACATTAAAAAAAAAAAAAAGAGAGGGAACATATGAACTAATTCAGCCTGGTAGTTTTCAGCATATTCAGTGTTTTATTCAGAGTGGACCTGCCTAGATAATTACCGCATGTTACAGAAACACGAGGTCTCATTATTTAGACAGACCATATTTTCCAAATCAGTATTTGGAAAAGTCTCAGCTTTGATGCTCATCTCAAGATATCCTGTTGTAACAGGGTGAGACCCTGCTGACAGGCTGAGAGAGCTGGGGCTCTTCAGCCTGGAGAAGGCTCCACAGGGACCTTATAGCGGCCTTCCAGCATCTGAAAGGGGCCTGCAGGAAAGCTGGGGAGGGACTTTCTATAAGGGCAGGTAGTGAGAGGATGAGGGAAAATGGTTTTAAACAGGAAGAGGGTAGATATAGACTAGATATTAGTAAGAAATCCTTTATGTGAGGGTGGTGAGACACTGGAACAGGTTGCCCAAAGAAGTTGTGGATTCCCCATCCCGGGAACCACCCAAGGCCAGGCTGGATGGGGCTGTGAGCAACCTGTTCTAGGGGGAGGTGTCCCTGTCTATAGCAGGGGGTCAGAACTAGGTGATCTTAAAGGTCCCTTCCAACCCAAACAATTCTATGATTCTATGATAACAGCTTTCTGAATGATGCACTGTCTGCTGCTAAACAAGCTTCCAAAATGTACACACCTTGAATACTGGCAAACCCACCAAGGGTTCCCTCAACTTGCAATCAGGAAATCCACGTAAAAAGATAACATGCCTCTTCCCCAGAAACAACCAGGAAATTACAGGCCTTTGCTTCATTCCCTGACCTTCTGTGTAACATGCAGCGTGTTCACAAGGCAAAGCTTTTAGCAACAAGGAAGCTGCTGCTCTTGGAACATGCAGTAACAAGATTGGAGTTTCCCCATTTTCCGTCAGTAGTGATAACCGCTTTGAACAACACTGCTTATTTCTACCCACCAAACCTGTGATTGACTGCTCATCTGGATCATTTTCCATCGGTCTGTACGTGCTTTGGCTGCTAGCAACTGAAGGAAGACTGATCGCGAGCTGAGTACTCTGTGCCACGCATGGGCCACATGGGGCTAAGAGGAGACAGAAATGTCTGTCTGTCTGTTCTGGAGACAGAAATGGTTCATCTCCACTGAAAAGCAATGTTGTGCATCAGAATTTCTATTAAGCTCATGACAGAAATGCTTTTGGCTGTGAGATAAAGCTGACTCAAAAACAAACTGTCACTTTAAACTTCGCTCTTTCCATTTCCACGTGTTTGAAAACAACAGACCATTGAACACGTCTCATCTTTGCATCCTTACAATGAAGAATTGACACAAAACAGCAAGGCATCACTTTCCCTTCCAACAGAAGGCCTCAATGTTTCTACTGGACTTTGTGACACCACTTACCATTCAGTACTCGGGGTTGGTTTTGTGATAAGCTCAGTTACAGACTGCATCCTGGAGAGGTTAAAAGAAACAAGTGCAGCACAAAACCAGACCAGTTGTGCTGGTTTTCAGCTCTAGCAGGGTTAGAATGCTAGTCAGATTCACTTTTGGGAACATGATCCTGCAGTGGCGACTGAATGCCTGCTTTGTCAGCTACCCGGTGAGGACAGAGGGTGCACTGCACTCAGTGCATTCAATTCCAGAAGGACTACTGGATGCCAATAGTTTTCTCGAGCAGAGAGGCCAGGGCTACTTAACAGGACAGCATATGTGCTGGGAAGTTTCTTGGAAATAAACAAAACAAAAAAAACCCATCAGCATTCTCCACTTCCCCCTACCAAAAATGCTTTCAAGCAGCCTTCTCTATGTTATTGCTGCAGTTAAAGATCTTCCAAATAGTCAAAAATGTGCTCAGCAAAAATGTTAGCAACATTTACATAAAATTCATAAAGGAGACTTCTTGGCTTAAAGATGAATGCATTAGCTTTTAAAATATTGTTCAATACTTTGTACATGGGCCTCTTCTACAGAGCATATTTACAAGACAATCGTGATGATACAGAACAGCTAATAGTGCCACATACACAGTGCTTGAGCAACCACTCCATTTCTGCCTCCTTTTTGATTTCACCTTGCCACCCAAGGAAGCTTCACCATCAAAAGCTGTAAAACAGAAAACCGGAAGCTGCCAATATCCAGGTAGATCTATGGCTCTTCCTCCTGAGCTGTTCCCATCTTTGGCTTAAAAAAACCACAAAGTATTGCTCTCACAGTTCCTCCAGGCTGAAGCCAATGCATGCAATATCTGGGAGTACTTTTTGCAGAGATTCCCTTTGGTGCTGCTATGAGGCACTAAGTTTGGCATTCATCTCTACTATTATTAGCCCTGTCACCAGTCACCACAAGCTTCAGTTTTTTTGTTTTCCCCATCCCTGCATAACAAAACAAGTTCACAACTGTTCCACTGCGCCAGCCCAACCAATGTGTAAGAGCAGCTGAGCCATGCACTCTCGCTCCATCTGAACCTCTTTGACTGCTTTCAGCCAGGGGAGTTTCCCGAGTCTGTATTCAGAACCCTTCAGGACTGCCTTATCCAAATATTTGCTCAGCTCCCCTTGATTCCATTAAAACTCTGTCCACAACATCATCTTGCAAAGGGTCCAACACGTCTGTTGTGGTGTTGATGGGGAGCCCACATGCCACTGTGCACAGCTTGGGATTCCGCTCACTGCTGCTTCCCATCTCCCAAGCAGATGGGTGGAAAGGAATTTCCTGGTTTCCAGGCTAATCACAGATTCAAGCAGGTATGTTCACACCACTACCTAATTCTTAAGTTGTCACAAGGCATTGGTTTTCCCCCTCAGATCTCTCACAAACAGAAGCCGGGTTACAATCCACAGGTTGAGAACACACTGCAATAACACATGGGAGAGGTCTGAGAACACCCTTCTTCCCACAAAACAGCAAATACCAGAAATGTGAGTTTCCTCCACAAGAAAACTTATATTGAAACAGGTTCCTCCACCATTCCTAAGATGCAGCAATAAGATCCTCAAGCATCACAAGCAGCAGCACGACTGATCCTGATGAGTGCACACCCATGTCTCCAAATACCCAGTGCTAAACCGTACTCACCAGGCCTCTTCCTAACCACACTGCTGCCATCACTCCTGGTCTGTTTTTCTAGAGCAGAACCTGATCAGGCTGTCAAGATGGCATTCCTCAAGCACGCTGCAGGAATACATCACGTGTCTTAGCTGCGCGCAGATGCTGTGCAGCAATATTTGGTGACAATTTGGGGGAGAAAAAATTGCTGTCAGCCATTTCATACAAAAATAAAGCTGGTTGCAGGATACAGAAGTTTTCCACTTTAGAAAATGGTTTGGATTGTAGTACTCTGATCAAAATGAACATCTGCATCTGACACACTGCCCCAAGCAGCCCACTTCCAGCCCTCAGCTATGCCAGGGCTCCTTGTTCGCCTGCAGCATTCCCGGTGGCTGCATTCCAGGAGGGGGCAGCCTGCAAGTGCTTCATACAGTATGTGAAATGCTTTGTTTATCCAAAAATATTTTAGCTCCAAGAGATATGAAAGCAAGATTTAGATTTCAGCATTTGCACAGTAAAGAGATGCATCTCCTACAGATACTGCCAGAAAGTTTCTTCCTTGAGTCTTCCTAGCTGTAAAATATATTTTGCAAAAATAAAATTACAGTAAACCAAAAGTTGAAGCAATAATAATGGAGAATAATAATAATAATTCCTTTATAAATTGTTATAGCAAGAAGAAAGAAGCACATAACATTCGAAAGGTGCTACTGCATTCTTGCTCCCTTTGTTAGGAGCAGATCAAGGTAGGAAAACCCTTCTGCCGCTGAGAGTAAAACAAATCTTATGGGATCTTCCCCACTAAGTGGCCCTGCAAAATCAGAATAGCGTAAAACATAAGGAGCTTCCCTACAGCCTGACCCCAGTTTAACTGAAAAAGTGAAATCTAGCTACCAACAGATCATCTGTTAGCACTGAAGTTTCACAGTGTTCATACTATCTTAAAAATAGACATCTGTCCCTAGCTAGTTATTTCAGTGGTTACTTAAGATGAGGAATTAAGCACATCAGTCATCAGAGACAAAATCGTGACAGTCAACAGGGCAGGACTTTCAAACAGAACACTCAGTTCAACGCAGCTCAATCACCCTCAGTTACAGAACTGGAAGACAGGACTATTCAAAATGTTACAGCTCAAACGCTGCAAGAAAGTACCTCGTTTTCCAGCTGAAAGCCCTTTTCACTTAAAGATGGTATGCTCTCCACATACTTGGTTCCTGATCTTGACAACGGCGGTAGCCCCACCACACTGTCTCAGCAGCAGCTTGTTCAGCCTGGAGAAAAGAAGGCCGTAGGGTGACCTTATTGCAGCCTTTCAGTACCTAAAGGGAACCTACAAACAGGAGGGGAATCAACTCTTTGAAAGGGTAGATAACAGCAGGACAAGGGGAAATGGTTTGAAGCTGAGGGAGGGAAAATTTAGGTTGGATGTCAGGGGGAAGTTCTTTACAGAGAGAGTGGTGAGGTGCTGGAACAGCTGCCCAGAGAGGTTGTGGATGCCCCGTCCATCCCTGGAGGTGTTCAAGGCCAGATTGGCTGGGGCCCTGGGCAGCTTGGTCTGGTATTAAATGACGATGTTGGTGGCCCTGCATGGTTGGAGCTTCATGATCCTTGAGGTCTCTTCCAACCCTGGCCATTCTGTGATTAAGGCACTTTTCAGTACCCAGTCCTTACTGAGCTCCACAGGCTCTCTGTCCCACAGCTCCAGTTGCACGTTTCCTTGGGCTGCGGTTTCACTGTTGGCCTCTGCCAGGAAATACCCAAGCACAGGCTGACTTGCACAAGCCCATTGCTTCAATTGGTGGCTTCATTCACCAAGGGGCTTATCTCAAACTGCGCTGCAAATGTAGAACCAACTATACGTAAAAATAAGACGTCCGTCTTTTAAGAAAGTGATTTGGAAGTTCTAGAAATGCTTTTCTGCTAAGTTCACTAGATGTAGGTTTGCAACAAGACAACACCATAAACTTCAGTATGTTTATGTTACAAAACACTAGCAGATTCTGTGGAGCATGACAACAATAAAACAGCAAGTTTTGACACTGTCAAAAACATTATGTGCAGAAAGCTGTGCACTTTGGTGAGCCATTTCCTTTGTTGCAAGCTACTAACCAAGGCACAGATCCTCACGGTTTGGGTCTCACCCACAAGCTCGAGTTCACTCTGTGGTCAGAGACCTCAGGCATGCAGAAACTGCAAGAAGTAACACAAGAAGACAATTTAGCATGCATAAAAATGAAAGCAACAAAGAAAGTAGGTTGGAATCAACTTTGGTCAGCTCCGTGAGTCCCCTCCACAAAGGCTCCTGTTGAGACTAATTGGCACTAACAAGCAGAATTAACCCCGATTTTGTGTGAAAACTCAGCTTGGGCCAAAGCTCAGAATAATTTCAGTCTTTAGAATACCAAAGAGTGTGGTACCACTCAGCATTTAACAACACAACATCAAGAGTAAATCAAAACCGCTACATGACAGTAAAACCAAACCTGGCTGTCCATTTTTCTTACAGCAGGGACAAAATTGGTTAGCACAAGGCACACTAAGTACCAAATCAGCTTAAAAGCAACATGCAAAGCCATCTGCAGTATTTCCTGAGGCACAAAACCAAAAGCAGTAAATCATACAAGATTTTGCACAGTGATGGTAAAACCAAAAATAGAAAGGAAGGGCTGACCCCACCTCCAATGGCTGTGGTCAGGAAAGCAGGCTTCCTCTACCAACAGGACCTCCAGATTTCACCACAGCCTTGCTACCTCAGAAAAAATAGAGACTGATTTTTTTTCATCTCTAGAGACTCGCCTTACAGCACCCTGGGAGAAAAGCCTCACTTCGAACCAAACCGAGACAGGCACGTGAACAGCACCAGGGCTGCAGCACATTTTGAAAGTGGGACAAGGTAAAATCCATACAGGCCTCAGGCTTTGGAGTCAGTGCAAAGAACAATATGCAAAGCTGCCTGGTACTGCTGAATTTGCATGTCAATCTTAAAGCAGACAGAGGATGCAGCTCAGAAGCGACCTTCAGGCTCCCTGTCCCTTCATATTCTTCTGCTCAGGCTACAAAACCCGTGCAATGGTGCAATGACAATGGCCCACAACACATACCTACCGGTTTCCTCCAGTGAAGTCACCCATCACCACAGACCAAACAACCAGTGCCAGGCACCTATCAGGCCCTGATTTAAATCAGTGGTATACCAGCTCATCAGCTTTTCACATCACTGCAGATGGAGGAAGAGAAAAATGCATTCCTTTCAGTTGCAAAGATTTACAAAGGTTACACTCTCCACAGAGAAACCGTACAGCACTTTTTTCTTCTTCAAACCCTATATATATACACATTTTTATTTTTATTTTTTAACTTGGAGGCTGAATTAATTACAAGCACAGAGAAGCACAGCTGAGTTTGTGAGCAGCTCCACCTTTTTCTGCTGCCAGATTTTGCCGACCAGAAACCTCTCCCCACCTTGCAAACCTTGGTGTGAGGGGAAGGAGAACTGAGGGCATGCTATCATGTTACCCATTCCTTTGCACAACTGATCTTACTTTCCGGATCTGAAGCAGAAGGTAAAGAAAGGATGGCACGGGCACAGCAGCTGCCAAAAGGACTGAAAAATCCAAGAACAAGATCTTTCCATGTCACACATAGTCACATTAGCTTCATCTTCTGCTTGCATTCAGCAATTCCAGAGTTGCAGCCACAAGATTTACACTCTCACTCTGATGTCACCTTCCCACATGGCTTCCTGCTGTCACAAGGTGCTCACAAAGGACCTGTCACAAGCCTCACCAACTAGATCACACACCGCTCTGCTGCCTCATGCTTAATATGGAAACAGGAGGATTAAACAAGCTGGGGTTGGCAGCTGGAGCAGGCGACTTCTGAGCGGTGCTCTGCAAGGAAATCTGTGGTAAGAGAATACAGAAGTTGGCAAAGGTGCTGGTAACACTGTAAATCGTACTTGATCTCTGGAGTACAGAAGCTGCTGGAGAGGAGGGCTTGTGCTAGGGCACAAGATACTTTAACAAGCCTGCTAGTGCCCAGCCTCACTCTGGGTTTCCTATGCAACCTCAATGCTTTTGCACTCTAGAGAGTGTTGCAATGCTTCTCGTATTTTGACAAGGCCTGCGCTCCTTCTTCTTTCTGACAGCCAGCTGCTATGGAGAACTTTGATGTCATACCCAGCTGCCAAGCTGTGGTTTGTGACAGAAGTTCCCTGAGGGAGGTGAGGTGTGGAGAAGGAGGAAGAGGGACCTCCCTGCCGCGGTTCCTCCCGTAACACACATGGCTGCGGGGCTCCGCTGCTGCTGCACAGACCTGAGGGATCCACTGCGCTTTCCAAACAGGTTCGTCAACAATGAAAACATCACTTTGGCATTTACACCACTGCCATTACTCAGAGGCCATCTCCTGTTATGCAACTGTTACTCGAGTTTTCCATTAAGTCAGTAAATGCCAAGTTCTAATGATTTAGGAATGATTTTCCCAATTGACTGAGGAAAGCTGCAAAAGCACTAAATTGGCAGGAGAAAGGAAAATGAGCTTCAGAATGTATTTGCAAATTTGACCAGAACAAAGCATTGTATCCCTTAAAGCAATCCAGAAACTCGGTAAAGAGACCAAAAGCTGCTGGGGCCACAGGGAAACCTCATGTTTAGGACAAGGACCGCCAGCAGAAAGCACATCCCACACACACCACAGACCCTGAATTCCCCCCATAATGCCTTGCTCCCAAGGAGTAACTCCAACTTAATTCCAAAAAGAGCGCTGGTGCCACAAAGTAGCAAAACCACATTAAACAAACATGTTTGAAAATGTCCGTTTCTGCCCATTTCTGTATAGCAGTCCAGTGACTGCCTCCAGTCCTATCACCGATACCTGCAGTGAAGGAAGTATTTTGGGAGTTGGTCACCCCAACATAAGAAACAAATATATGCACCAGCAGAAACCACCTCCTCAGAAATACCACCAGTACAACAACCTTCCCACAGAATCCCGCTTTACCACAGACCTTACAACTCAGATGGCCTTGCATCTAGCAACAGCCTGCTTTTCAGCAGCACCATCCCCAGATAGAGGCCTCTAAAGCAACCCCACCTCAGGGTCAGCAGCAGGAATCTGTTCCACCCCTTCATCTACAAGCCCTTTGACCTGCCAAGGAACTGCAAATTCCACTGGACCATCTACTTCGCAGGGAGAGGACTCTCTTTTTCCAGCCAGCAGCCACACCAGCTCTCTTCCCCTGCCCCAGGGGAAAAGCTGTGCCTGCATGCTAGCAAGGTCCTCGCCCACAGCTCCACATGCTGTTGTCTTTTGGCTGCTAAAGGAAGAAGGCTTTGAGCATCCTCCCACATTCCCTGGAAACCAGACAACCACATCCACAGGCAAGGCAGTTCACAGCCCTGCAGGATGCTTGCTAACAGCCCAACAGCTGAGCAACAGCTTAGCACAGTGAGGTATGCAAAGAGGCTGAGCAGCCTGGGTGGCTTCAAAAAGTCCCAAAGTAGCAGCAGGTTCTACTGCCACCCGAGGTCTCATCAGTAGTCTTTGTGCCTACAGTTAAGGACAGATACATTGACTCAGCAAAGGTGGCTGCTGTTTGATAATGGTGTTTCTCTCCCCCCTCTCCTTCTTGCACATCCATGCTCAAGTTGTGGGAATGAACCACACACCCAGGGTGCAAGCACCCAGCAGGTCTCTGCAGTGAGCTGGGTGCTGCTCTGCAGCGGGCTCCCTGCAGCCTGCCATTGGAGGAGCAGTGCTGCCCTCATCCAGCACACCTCATTCACTCATTCACAGCTACGGAACACTGATCCCAATCGGAAGGTGGTTGGCCCAGGGCCACCCGACAAGTGCAGGGTGATCCATTCTGTCTGCTAATGGTCAGTGTGACATTCTCACTTAAAAATATAAAAACACTCTGTGAGCTACCAGACCTTTAGTGGTGTCAAACCCTAGAATACAGACCAGTCAAGGTGCCACAGCACCACAGTGGGATGCTATTTCTGACATCCAGAGTGGAGTGAGGTGAGTTTATGGATGCATCCCTGCAGTCCCAGCTCAGTGATGACAGGACAAGTGCTTTCCCTTCTGCACATCTTGCACAGTTTCTGGCTGAAGGGTTATTATCCAGTCTGCAAGCAGAGGTAATTAGTTCAGTAGCACAGCAGCGCATCTTACAGGCTGAACGTCAGCATGGAGCTGTTACGTGGAACTGCCTGGAGGACCATAGAAACGTCCTACAGTTCTTAGGATGCACTCCACGTTTAGGCTA